TTGAAGTTTTGAAAACTTCCAAAGATGGAAATTCCCAGCCTCTCTGGGCAAGCCATCCCACTGCGTAATTGTCGTCAATTTTTTTCCCTTACATTTAGTTGAATTTTCCCATGCTGCAGCTGTGACTGTTTGCTCATGTCCTTTTCCTGTGCTGCTTTGAGAAATCTGTTTCTCTGTGTTTCCTATAGCTTTAGGTATTTGAAGATGGTGGTTAGACCTCCTCTCAGCTGCCTTCTCTCCAGGATCTCTTAACCCCTCCATTTACATAATGCTACTGCATTTTATTCCCAGCTCTGAAAGTGAATAAAATCCACTTGTTGTGTTGTAGTAATAGTAGTAGGTCCTTATAGATGATCTAAGTGTTTAAGCAATGCAAGAAGGACTTACATGTCAAAAAGCTTGTCTATTTTTTCTCGTCGTAGTTGTTTGATAGAGTATATCCACTCTCCCTACAAACCTTGGCAATCTCCTACAATTCATTGTCCATATTTGCTCTTTCTGTCACATATATTAGGCATGTAAAGACCTCAAAATGCTTTAGCAGACTTCCAGTCTCCCATCAAATTACTTCTATTATGTGTCACATTTTCAGTTATAGCACCAGTGTGAAGCACAGGGTAGGTTCAAGAGAAGCAGTGGTGTTTCTGCTTAAACACCTTGTTTAGACATTGCATAAGACCGGGATTATAAAATACTTACCGTAGTTCCAAATAAGTGCTTTTATTATTAGTGGTCTGTAAAGTCAGATTCCCATTGCTATTCTTTCTTTCTTCCCCCAGGAGTTTTGCATTATTGCTTCACAGCCCAATTGCAACAAGAGAGAGATCTCAGTCCATCCTGCATGTTGGAGGTTACAAGCACTCTCCTGGGAACTGTGAAATATGGAACTGAGTCTGTCAGATGGAGAGGATTATAGAATCTGACCTCCCTCTACCCAGGAAATATAAACACTTGGCCACTTCTATAAATGAGACTTTGCCACCGTTCTTCAGGTCCTTTTTTTGATTTAAATGGCCACATCTGCTTTTCTTTGTGATAAACTCGGTGCTGCCAGTGTTTGTCTCTGCACTTAGTATATCTGAAGTATCCCCTCAATGGGGGAATTTTGCTTTGGGTATTCCTGGTTTGTGAGCCCCAAAAGACTGGCAGCTGCCAAATCAGGTAGGATCGTGGTCACTTAAGGATGCACAGCAGCATCAATGCACAGACAGTTTCAGGTGATGAGAGTAATTTATTGTTGAAAATAAGGGAATGCAAAGACACTCAAGTGCCTTTTTTATGTCTATGCTGCTCTGAAGCGTCATAAGTATATTCACTACCATGTAGTGCCTGTCCCCTGTGCACATACAACCTCACTGACATCTCGTTCAGTCAAGGCTGGGAACAAATAGCATCCCATAGCAAAATGCTCAGCATTTTTGGCCATGCAGATTGCTAGAGGGCTTATTCTTATTGTGCTTGAAGCTTCCTTGCAGGCACATACTATAGAATACAGACAAGCTTGACCTTCAGAGCAATTCTCCAGCCAGCCTTAAGGGGTACTGTGGATCTAACCTTAAAGGGTTGGCAAAATTTACCACATTTTTTGGCTTAGGCAGCTATAATCTTCCTAAATTTGCCTTTAGGCATCTACTTGCTCTCATCATTCAATGCCAAGTGATCTCTTAAGTTTCACCTTATGTCATCTTTCATTATAATCTAAATCAGCTGCCACTTCTTTTCCAAGTACCACTCTGCTCAGGAGGAAACCAAACTACACTTACTTAGTGTGGTGTACCTAAACTGAAAAACATCCTTTTGCTGTTGTACGACAGCCAACTCGTAATACTTGCTGTATTGGGTTTGTGTGGTGGGGTTTTGGTAGCAGGGGAGGGGCTGCAGGGGTGGCTCCTGTGAGAAGGTGCTAGAAACTACCCTGGCTCCAAGTCGGACCCACCTCTGGCCAAGGCCGATCAGTGATGGCGGTAGTGCCTCTGCGATAACGTTTTTAAGAGCGGAAAAACCTGCAGGGGAGGGAGGAGGGGGATGTTAGAGAAACACCTGTGCAGTCACTGAGGCCAGTGAAGATGGAGGTGGAGGAGGTGCTTCAGGTGCCAAAGCAGGGATTCCCCTGCAGCCCATGGTGAAGACCTTGATGAGGCAGGTTGTCCCACTGCAGCCCATGCAGATCAACGGTGGAGCACGTGCCTGCCTGCAGGCCCTAGAGGACCCCACACCAGAGAAGGTGACTGTGCCCAAAGAAGGCCGTGACTCCGAGGGAAGCCCACGCTGGAGCAGCCCGTCGCTGGGAGGGCTGCACCTCATGGAAGGGACCCGCGCTGGAGCAGTTTGTGAAGAACAGCAGCCCGTGGGAAAGACTCACATTGCAGGAGTCCGTGGAGCGTTGTCTCCTGTGGGAGGGACCCCGTGCTGGAGCAGGGGAAGAGTGTGAGGATTCCTCCCCCTGAGGAGGAAGGAGCAGCAGAAACATGTGATGAACTGATGGCAACCCCCATTCCCTGTCCCCCTGGGCTACTGAGGGGGAGGAGGTGAAGCTGATCCTGGGAAGAAGGGAGGAGTGAGGGGAAGGTATTTTTAAGATGTGGTTGCATTTCTCATTATCCTACTCTGATTTGATTGATAACAAGCTAAATGGATTCTTTTTTTTCCCTAAGTCGAGTCTGGTTTGCCTGTGACCATAATTGGTGAGTGATCCCTCCCTGTCCTTGTCTCGCCCCATGGGCCTTTTTGTTATATTTTCTCCTCCCCATCCTACTGGGGGGGTAGGAGTGAGCAAGCAGCCACATGGTACTTTGTTGCCAGTTGGGCCTGACCCACGACACTTGCTTATATGGGAAATAGCACATAATATATGGCCAATAAGTTATATAAATGAGCACCCTACCAATCTAAATCATGGCACAAACGTAGACTAGGTTTGTCAATGCATGTTAGAGACCCTTCTTCCAAGGCTGAACCACCTTCTGCAACTTCTCTGAAAACATACCATTTTCAAAAATTTCCAAATGACAGTCAGTCCATCGTTTTACTCACAGGCGTTGCTTAGTGGAGATTTTAAGATCTGTTTTCCCATGTTAATAGAGACGCTTTTCAACCAGTAGTTAAACTGGTCTTGCAACCACCTCTTTAGTACAAGATCACTGTTGTCTTGTGGTCAGAAGTAGAATTCATGGATAAGTCACATGAAGGGGTGATTCAAGATACGCTGTTCATATGAATTCTGGGAGGCATCTTCCTTATTGCTGCAGTCTCATAGGACTTGGAACTTGTATTGATGCAGGGACCAAGAGACAGTCAAGCCATCCTATATACTGAATGGATAGGGTGTCTTACACAGTCAACCAAAACAATCGTTTCACACAAATGGGAATTATTGACATAAAAATTAATGTCCATAAGAAAAATGTCTTCATATACTTGTTGTTCACGAAGTAAAAAGTAACTTTTCTGTATGGACAAAAGTGATTGATATTTGAGCATGTCCTTTTAGAGAGATTATTTCAAGCTCTTGTCTGAGATCCTGTACAACTTTTCAGGGGTCCCATTTCTAAAATGGATTTAGTAAAACTTCCATGCTTTCTAAATGAATAATAAATCAATAATAACGAACCTTTCCCATTTGTTTAATAATAAGGACCATGAAACTCACAGAATTGTTGATGCCATTCAGTCAACTCTCCCTGCGTTTCCCAATCCAGTATTGTTACATTTAGCTGTGGCAGTTAAGATCTAATGCTGTTCACCCATCTATATCCTACCTGGCATTTAAATACACTATGTAAAAGGCTGTGTTGAACCTAAGAGTCTACTCAGTACAACATTCACTAACAATCTAATCCATGGACTTGAAGTTCCATAGGTTGACAGTCGCTAAAGATATTTAGTTGGGAAACAAAGCCATGGTTTAATGAGAGGGGTTTTTTTCAAATTGATTGCCGATATCAATGTTGATGAGAAGATAAGTTATCTTTTTATCTTAGAACTTTAAATCACTATGAAAAGCTCAGCCTTTTACAGTTCAGAGACCTATTTATTAACATAATCAGCACATGCTTTGTATTTCATAGTGAAGTAGCCTTATGATATAAAGATTTGTGAATTGAAACCAATTTTTAAAAAAACCTGTCATGCATCCAAGCTAATCCAACTGCAATAATAGCAGTATGACGCTTACATTTTTGAAATTATGTGTATGGACACATTCCATTAACATTAATGGCAGTTACAAGGATAAGGATCAAATTTTTCCTGAGTTAATCCTCTGACTCCCACTGATTTCACTGATCTTAGACTACTAAATAATTTTTAAAGGCCTTCAGCCCCTACGTTTTTAAATATATCCACCGCAGACTGAACTGTTATCAGTACAATGAGTATGTTTATTGGCACAGTTTTGATCTGTAGTAGATAGCTACTGATTCTATTTCTGCATGCAATGTACAACATCCCTTTTGAAGATTTCATTGTAAGTGCATTTTGTGCAGAGGCAGTACGCCATTTAGAGGTCATTTTCTTAATGTTTGGAAAAAGAAGAAAACTAACAGTTGAAGTGAAATAAAAATGTCATTTATATGATGCAGTGTCAGATATGGAACTCAAACAATGTAGAAAAGGTTCAGGCTTAATTTTCCTGAAGCAGAAGAAATGAGAGGCATTTCATTTTTGTAGGTGAGAAGTGAAATGTTCCTCTCTGCTCACTGATAGAGGCATGCTAAGGTGAATTTTAATTATGACTAAATTGTGGTATTACTCTTTCATACCCTGAACATCTGTTCCCTTCAGGAATGATGATTTATGCAGGCTATCACTGCAGACAGCTTGCTACAGCTTATGTCACGGTTAGTAGGAAGCTGGTGGTAGTATTTCAGAAAATACCAGCATCTAAGTGGAGACAGGCCGGTGTGTATTTTTAAGGTAATAGGGAAAGGGGAGCATGATGTGTCCGTTTTTAATTTTGAAGCCAAATATTGGCTCTCCTTTTTTTTTCTTTTTTCTTGCAGACCATCTGTCATTAATGAAGAAAGTATCTTGGACAGTGAATGGCCTGGTTCTTCATGATGGTGTCAAGCAAAAGAAAACCAAACCTATCATTTCCAACCGCATATAGAAAATTATTGAGGACACCTCTGACAGAATTTTAGTGTTTAAGAACTGCACAGGGCAGGATAACTATGAGACTATTGCATCACAAAATCAAATTGAAAAGGTAACCTTTATTAGCACGGCTGAATGAGTGCATCTCCAATGTACCTTCATTGTTACTGCATTTTTATTCCTTTTTTATAACTATAGATTATTCTAAAAAAAAAAACAAACCCACAAAAAAAAAAAAAAAAAAAAAAAAAAAAAACACCACAAAAAAACCCCAAACAAAACACCAGTCCTGAGGGATTATATTACATTCAGGGATAAGGGGAATTTTACTTCTGTGCTCCCTCTTTCTTGAAATCCCCACTGCTCTTTAATCTGCTTGTCTTTGCCTAGTAGCAACTTTGCTTCTGATTGTGCTTATTTCTTCTCCTACTTTTGTGTGTACTGTGTAACAGTACGTTATCTGAGGATTTATTACCAAGTAACATTATTTCTAAGATTATCTGACATATAGGTTATATATGTTATATACGTTTGAAAATTCAGTCAATTTTTATTAGGTTAGATCTTTAATTATAAATATTCAGTAGTTAAAGTGTTTGTCTTAAAAGATATGATGCTATAACCACATAACAACATATTTTAAAGTTATGCTATATACAAGAATCTTTTTTCCTGTATAGGGTTTTTTAATACTTTCTTGGCAATTCAATAGGTTTTAGAAGAACTGATATGCTGTCTTTGTTTTCAGGTAAGTATAGAAGAGTGTATGTGTTTGTCCCCAAACAAGTATGGCATATATATTTTATATCACTGCATTTCTAATATTAGTCTGTGATAGATTTGAAATAATTTTCTAAAAATAAATTTTAAATATTTTTCAAACCTAGGGCTGATTCACAACCTGAAATACTTGAAATACTTTGCAAGGTTTTCTACTATATGTAAGGAATTTTGAATGCCTGGAATATTAGCTTTCAGTCCTCTCTGAATTGTGTAATCCATTTGTTTTTAAGTCTGTAGGACTGTATGATCATTCATTCCAGCTGAACTATTCTATTGTAATTATAATTTTAATCCACTAAAATAATACTGAGGAGAACTATATCTGCCTCAATTAATGAAAGGTCATTTTTCTAATGTTGCCTGTGATAGATATTATCAAATTATTTTGTAATATAAAACTAATCTTATTACTGTCAGCATTGGTGCTATTATAGATCAAGAAATTGCATGCAGATATGAATAATAACACTTCTGCAATAAATGTTCTTAGAACCTGTTGTCTAACTAGAGCATTCACAATACTTTCAACACAATGAGGATAATCAAAACACACAGATCAAACTTGTCTGTACATCAGAACAAAAAAGTCCAGCAATAATTTTTGAACATCACACAAATTCAGTAGTTTGATGCAGTATTAATCAATCTCCTTTTTTTTTTTTTTTTTTCCATGGGGATGTCTTGACCTAGCATGCTAATTATTAAACTGATATCCATGAGACCTTATAGATGTGTGGCCTGCTTGTAAAGGATATCCAAAAGTGACTGAGGCCATCGTTTTGAGTACATTTCAAGTCAGTGTATTCCAGCGCTGTTGCTAAAAGAAGGCTCCACCACTTGTGCCCTGTCATTGAGGGACTTCTGCAGCTCCCTGGACAGCACAAGGGTTTTGTTCCATCATTCAGTGAACCACAGAGGGAAGATGACGTACACCAACAAAGAGCCAGTTAAAATCATCAATTTTAATCTGGAATAGTTTCAGGAATCTGATTCACTGCACACCCACCTAAATACTTTTGCCAGCACAAGAAAAAACATCACGTGGGAGTGGAAAGAAACAAGTGAGTCTGAAAGAGAAAAACTGTTGGGAAAATTCTAGCATGTACATACAGATTAGTGCAGGAGAAGGAAAACTGAGGCCAAAGGAAAAGTTTTATGTTTATGTGCAATTCCCATTTGAATTTTATATAAGTATCTGATCCTCCAGTGACAGATGAATGTATAAAGGTTGACACATTTAGAATAGATTGAAAATCAGTGTCTCAGGTTTTAATGCAACAGTAAGTATAAAATGAGAATGTTTCAATATCTTCAAAATGTTATTTCGTGCAGTCCAGTGATTTAAACAGAAAACATGTTTCTTGCTTATGAATTGAAAACATAAACAAACGACTGTAAAAATTGCAATACTGTGTCAGGCTGTACTTTCATCTAGTCCAATATCCTGTCTTTGAGTGGAAGTCTAAAGAAAAGTGGAAGAATAAATGCATCAGATGGTACATATGGTGCATATGTTGATGATTTCCTAGCATGCTTCCCTCATCTGGGACAACCTCAGTCACGGTGTAGTCAAATCACAAAGAATATATCAGAAGCAGAGCATTTTCCTTTTCCTTGAGAACAAATACTATTTGTTATTTGAATGGGATGTTATTCCTTCCCTTTGCATCATCAGTCTCATAGCATGGTTTTAAAAAACTGACTGAAATGTGGGGTTTTCCTATGTATAATAAGTAAAATGTTCGGCAGGTTGTTGACACTGTGTGAAAAGTGTGTTTGTTTCTTGTAGTCAGTAACTATTGCTTTCTAGACTTTTACCTATTAATGAAAAAGTGGACAGCTATTCAGAGTGATGTGAATTCACCAAATACTGGTGGTATCTTGGCAGGAAGATCTGAAGCACAACTGAGGGATGTTTGATTCTTTTTGTTCTGAAACCCTGACCAAAGTGATAACATTCTGACTTCAGTTACACTAGATCCGTATCAGTGAATGAAGGAGAAAAAAAGGACACTGAAAAATTCTCAAAAAGGCAGATTTACCGGACTGTACAATCTTCACAGTCTTCCTCCCGTCTCCATTTAGTCACTGTACAGACTTCTGATGGAAGAACTGCACGTCGACCACACAGCAATCAATACACTGATGTATAACAAATAGGATTCATAATTCATTGGAGAAGTATTTTTTTCATGCAGAAAATACCTATCATGCAATTAAAACCAGAAAGAATGTTAAGTATGTTTAGAAAATTTGAAAGAAGAGACAAGGTAAATAGTGATTTTTTTCTCTATTTGTTTTATATTGGAACTACTATGAAACAGTTATTCTGTCCTGCTAAAGTTTAGAAAATGTCTAAAATACTCTGACTGAGCTAAGATGTTTCCAAACATGTTTTAAGACAAGAGATCTGAGACTAGAGTTTGATAGGGGAGACCTGAGTACAGGTCTACATTCTGTTCGGTTCTGATTAGACTCGAACCTGGTTCTCCCAAATCTATTTTAGATGGGTATTTTCAGTTAGGCAGCTGCCTAGAAAGCTAAGGAACCTTTAGTTGTAAAGAATCAGAAACTACAACTGTTGGAGGGCCTTGACCCCATTGTAAGAAATTGTAATTTATTTGCATGTTTTCCCATCTTCTCTTTTGCCAGAAAAACTGTTCTGAGTTAGGTTAGAACTGGATCGGAAACATGGCATTTGGGCTTAAATATGGCAAGTATGTGCAAAAATGGACAAGTGGAGGGGAATATGTTGTACTTTAGCAATCCTAAGTGGTACACAGCACCTTCAAAAGGGTTCCATGTTTGTGCATGTTAGAACAGCACTGAAGCTACTGTAATTAGAATTGAAATTGAAAAAAAAAAGGAAAAAAAAAAAACCAACCAAGGAAAGACAAAACTTTATTGATGGTGTATGCTTTTTGTCTTATTTTGAACTGAATTTCTTTGGAGAGGCAACATCTCTCCAAAGTTTGGTGTGCAATGTCAGTTCTGAAATGTGGATGCTGTTGAGGTAGGAGATGTGTTTTTCACCCTTGAACATGTGTTATTGCAGTCAAATGAGGGATTTTTAAAATGGGACACATTCCTCTCAAAATTTACAAGACATAAAATTTTCCTTCATACTTTGGCTCTGTTTTCTCTATGAGCACTTTGAAAAAGACAGCTTAGGATATTCACCTGACTGACCTAAAATAGGCATGATGGGTGAATAATGTCATTAGTATTTTCCTCTTGCCTTTTCTTTTCAACAGTTCCATGAACAATGAATTTCTCCTGGTCAAAGTATTGCCATTTCTGCCATCAAAAATAACTTGTGTGCTATCTTCGACTTTCTTCCAAAGAGTGACAGGTAATTTCACTGGCACTATTTCAGTGACAGTTTCTGCTTTAATCACACAACTCCTATAGTGATGATTCACCTCTTTCATAAAATTTGCATTCGCTGAATAGTATTGCACAATATAAACCCAGCTATTGTATATATTCTCAAGTGTTATGATTTCTGTACAAACTGGAGAAAGGTAAGCTAAATATTCAATAATCAATTATTTTGAAGTATGTGTAGCAAGCAAAAGGATGCTATCAAGAAATACGTGTTTTAAATTGACTGAGGTATATGACTATGTTATTCAATCTGAAAACCTGGTTCAGCATAAAAGTCTAATAGTAGGAGGATTCTCTCTAAAACGATAGCTGCAATGTACAACTGGGAACAATCAGAACAATGTGGACATGGATAAAAAGTGTAATTTAGAATTTGACTGTGAGCACAAGAAATGGCTTATGATATCTCCTATTGTGATGGTGTACAAGCCAAAACATTATTAGGTTTGGGGTGCGTTCTGGATGTTGCTAAAGGAGAGTTTCTATCTTTGCTAGCAGAATAAAAAGTTATTTAGAATTAAGCATGTAAACCAATACAAAACCCTGTATTTGTATGTTTGACGGGAATCAGAGGTTAAATTAAGCCATTGTGACATTTGTAGAGTTTAGCATATCTTTTTATTCAAAGCATTCGAAACATACGTGCCCTAGTCAAAATACACAGCATAAAAGTAGTAGCAAAAACCAAGCCTGCCTTTCTCCTCTGCAGCACCCCGTGTAAGTTAACAGTGCGTTAGTAGGCCATACGCTTTCCACTGCTAAGGAGTCTTTTGCTGAAGTCACTGAGTAACTTTTAAGTCATTGCTACATTTTCTACCATGACCATCTGTGGTCTAGGAATACACACTAAAAAATTTTGCACAGCATATTGATCTTTTTGTGTGGCTGAGCTAATTAGAACTGGTAACAGTTTTCTCTCTGTATCTTACTTAGCCTGTCTATAAAGCCTTTGAAGTAGAGCTTCCTGTTACATGTATGTGTGCAGTGTCTAACAGAAGTAGGTTCATTTTTCACGAGCATCTAAATTTTTCTTTTTCATTTCATACTATTTTGGTTGGTAAAAAGCACATAACATTTTGTCCTACCTGCAATTACTTTTCTTTTCCAAGAAGAACTTGGAATATTTGATGTCTTGCATTTCTATTAAATTTGCATGTATAGAATGCTGTACTTGCCAATGCTTATGGTCATTACTGGAAATCAAAGGATCGACAGCTATACACACTCTGCATTTTATGTGGGGTAGCCTATAGATTACATTGCAAAGGTAAATATTTACTTTGTAGCTGTTTAGAGCATATTCATACTATGCATTTCTTAATGCATTTATTAAAGAACTAGGTCGTAATTATTTGCAGTAAAACCTTTCTTTTTTTGAAGTTTTCAGATAAATGCACACTGAGGATGAATCTTATGGACTGTAATATAATGGAATGTAATAAAGTATAGTATAAATTATATGTTATTATAAACATAGTTTTATTGCTATTATAGTAAATGGCTACTGATATGTCGTATGTATAATGTATTTTATATATATACTATATATAATAATAGAAGAATTATACATTTTACATA